GTAACTGGGCGGGGCTACCCGACACATTTTGAGAAGAGCTGAAAAACATGTTTTTTTAAAATTTCTATTTTTTTAAGTTAAACTATTCTTTTTTGGTTCATTCTTTTCGCATTATTTAATTAGATGATAAAACAATCGAAACATACAAAAATATTGATGATTACTCAATATTATACAGAATTATAAGCAATACTCCTTAAGTGGGCGGGGCTACCCGACTCTCCCCTATATGTTTTCTCTTTGGTTTGAAATATATTTCATCTTATATCAAACAAATAGCAAATTTTTAAAGAAAAACTTTTGATGGTGTTATACATTTTAGTATTTCAATTATATCTAGAACCTATATCTACCAGAATCAGGCAAATTTTTTTGTGTATCTGGGTCTATTAAAAGCACTAAAAGCTCGCTTTATTTTACCGAAGTTCTTTGATATTGATTTAGGTAAAATTAACAATAAAATATGGTTTTAAGACATGTGATAAAATAAGTAAATGATGTAAAAATTGGTAATTTTATCATGATACCTTGGATCACGGGGAAAAATCTTTATACAATTACATTTACTTTTTCAATTTTTTATTTTTTACTAACTGTGTGATAGCCACTATAACTTTTAAAACCCGAATTTCTGGTTAACTGTTTCCATATGTACGGAAAAATTACCAAGTGTATGATTAAAATACCCTATATTTTGGTTTTATGAACCAGAATTATGGTTTTTCCTACCAAAAGTAACATTACAACACATGGTGCTTTTACCAGAGTTATTTTTCCCCGCATAATACTTTGGGATTAAGTGTTAAATGACATAAACTGTGCTTTAACTAGTGCATGTGCTTTAACTAGTTTAATCAAGAGACTGAATTTAAATATTTTGGCATCTTGACTTCGTTTTCATTCTGAATTTTAGTAATATCTCTGCAGTTAATTCTAAAAAATAAATGCTAATAAGAATAATTTGATTAATAATGCTAATAAGAATTAAGTTATTAATAAGAATTAGGAAATTGTTATTAATAACAAATAGAAATTGGTAATTAATAACAAATAAGAATGCGCATTTATTATTTTTTTTTATATATTATTATTATTAAATATAATATTTGATTGAATGTATTTGGAATTAATGTGTTAACAATTTCTCAAAACCTATGCAAGCATACCCATAAAAAAAACGTTTTTGAAGGCATAGCATTATTTATGAACTAATCAGTATTCCCTACTATATAACTAGCGATTTCAAATCAAAGAAATGGATTCAAAAGCCAATTAAAAAGTAGCTTTTAAAATGTTAGAAACATCATACATTAGAAAGTCTAAACTCCTCAAAGACACTGTTTAAATGACATTTTCAAAACATTCTTACATTTTGAAAAAACAGAAAAAAATTCTCACTTAGCTGAGAGATCCGCAATTTAAAAAGAAAATCCTCATGATGTAAATAAATAATAAAGATAATAAGGAGATGTCCATTAAAATTATGTATGTTGGCTTTCTAAAAATTCGAGATGCGCGCATTTATTTTTCGCTTCATTTGAAATAAGCTTTTGAAAATTGTCGTTCAAAGTTGCGAAACGTGACTTATCGCTACAAACAGGACAGAAATGGCCTTTCACTTAATGAATGTATTTCTGAATGATGATAATCAATTGAGATCTTACGAATGCCTCATTTTTACATTTCACGGGGAAAGCTATTGATAAATCAATCGGGCATAAATTTCTTTTATTGCTTATTTTATATAATGAGTTCCATAAAATTTTAAGGTTTTGAATAAATTACTAGAAGTGGATTTCGGATGTTTAGATAAAGCAAGTGAAATGTATGGGAATATTAATTGATAGAAGTGTTGCTTGATTAAAAACGTTTGTCGCTTCAAAAATGTGTAAACTGGAAATAAGAGTCAACGTGTTCCAAGCTCTCAAAAACAGTCGTCCATTTTCAAGATATGCCAGACTTGAATGAGACATTAGTTCCCTCACGTCTCCATACCGTGTGGTAGAGCAATTTACCCTGATTTGCCCCTCTTAGCCATTCTGTTCTGTTTTTGTTTTTTTCCAAATCTTTTTACTCTGTCTCGGCTACTGTGGTTTTTTTCTAAGTTTTTTTTCTCACTGTTATTTTTCATTTATCGTTGGCAACATTATCGTTTTATATTTCAAATTACTTTTGTTTCGTTTCATTCAGGTCTGGCAAGTCTTTAAAATAGGAGTCTGCTTTTGATCGCTTAAAACGTGTCGACTGCTATTTCCAATTTTTTAATGTGTTACATCTTCAGTTTCATGGGTTTCTTTATTTAATTTGGTTGAAGTGTTATTAATCCCATAACAGCATGAAAATAAAAAGAAAATAAATAGTTTACAAGTATTCAAACTTAAATAAATTATAGAATTGAGGGAATGTTTGGTAAAAATAACATATATGATATGTGTTTTAGGAGAGACAAAAATAATTTTTTTCGCCTCTTAAATCTAATTGAAAAACTTAATTTTTACAAATATTCTGCACATAAATATTTTTTTAATTGCAGCTGAATTATTTTTATTACTTTTTGTGTAGAAAAGTTTTTGAAATTTCAATTAATTATAAAATTTTGAAATTTAATAAATAAGTCTTTTCAACGATAAATGTTTCTAGTAGTGAATCAGGGATATTTAAAGATAAAATGGCGAGGAATTTTGATAGTAACGTTCAGAAAACGAATGAAACTTATTTTATTTGAAAGTTAAGTAAATTACGAAATCAAGGAAATGCCAGGCATTTGAGATGCAAATAATAAATATTTATAATTTCTACAGACAAGATTCTCCCACTCTTTCAACAATAATTCCAAATTCATTACAAAATATTTTGCCATGCTCATCTAAATAAAAAGTTTTTATATGTCATTGTGCTGCCATCTATGTACTAAATAACAAATCTTAGACTGAGTTAGAAACCAAAACCTAGCATACTGATTTCCGACTTCTAATTCTTTAATTACCTATCAAAATTATTAATTGTTGTTAAAAATTACAATATATTATAATAAAATAATTAATTACTGTTGAATTTTTTTTTTGCATCTTCAATTTTAACTTTTCATGCAAATAAACTTGTGATAGTTTTGTTTTTATAATTTAAATGGATTGCATTCACTAAAATATTTTATGAGAACGTCGCTATGGATAAAATCTCTAAATTAGAAATAACTTAAAAAGTAGCTGATATTTTTACTGGCAATGGTAAAAAAAAAACACTTTAACATGAACATTTTATTTTATTCTCTTCCCGTATTGAATACCAGTTAATAAAAAGAAATATTTTTAAAAAAGAATATTCTAACATTTTCGAACATGAATATTTGCTTTATTATTTTTTTTATCCAAATTCACTCTAAATGTGAAATTGTAAGTTTGTTGACAAATTTTGTTGGTGAAATTTTAAGTTGTAGAATAGATTAAATATTCATTTATCTTGTTTCGAACGAAATGACTTGTGGTATAGTTTTAAAATCGCCCAAAGCTATTTATAATTAAAAAAAAAAAACGAAGAAAATTTTATGCAAATACATACACAAATAGCAAAATAAGGTTTATCTTCACTCGATAAAAGCTTTTTTATGTAGACCTAAAAAGGCACTTTCACGGTTTGCCTGTAAACTTTCTGACCTTAAAACGAGGTTAGTGACAATCTACGCACATTACACTTATCTAAAACCTTCTATAATACAACCTCAAATCGAGGTCGTGTGAGATATTTTAACCGTGAAAAATATCCGCGCATAAAACTTGTCATAAGGTGAAAATCAATCTGTATCTAGATAATTATAACGTTTCTTCATGCAATGTTTTGTAAGCTCAGCTAATATTCACCTTATCATGAGATTTTCGTTGACAATGTTAACTTATTCCTATTGCATGGGTAGCATCACTTCCATGACTATATAATGCCATTTTTTATACTATTATCTGCTATATATTTTACAACTTTCTCTTTCTCTCTCGTTTTTTTAATAAATTTTTTTCCGTAGTTAATTACTTTGTTAAAAAAAATTGTGCTTAATGCATAAGTAAAAATGCGGTTTAAAATACAATAGTTATTTTTTTTTGACAATTTGATTAATTAAAAAAATAACATCTTGCTCTCAGAGTGTGTGTGTTTTCCTCTCTGTCTATAGGAAATTCCATTAGGGAGAGAAATTTTGATGACAGCATATATATATATATATTTATATATATCTTATTTCGTCAAAATGATTAAAATATTACTGCCAATTTAACTTGCATTTTATAAGTATGATATTACGATGTAGGAAATACAATAAGGAAAATATTTTTTTTTTAAAAATCACTTCATGAATTCACTAATTCCAAATATATTTTGTTATTATATAACAACAAAGAATATTATAGTTATAATAAAAATTGGTAAATGATACAAAAGAGATATACCATAATCCAATTAGGCATTTGGTTAACACATGAAAATAAACAACATTATAAGTGTAATAACTATTAGTTAAATGATGCAGAGTAAAAACTACTGAAGTAAAAAAACAATATTACAAAAAAGTATTTTGTAGTTCTAAATTTCTATTTAACTACCACAAATCATTATGTGATAAACATAATATGAATTATACAGATATGGGGCTAATAATTTTTAGTACACTTTAGGTACTGGTTTTAACTAAGCAAAATATATAAATATTTCAACCGTTAAATCTAAAGTAGGAAAACATGCATATTGTTATATTATGGCCAATTTAAAAACTAAAATGAATAGATTTAATAATTATTTAGAGAAAAAGCTGAATTTTAAAGGAATGCGAGCTCTTAAGTAACATTAAATCGCAGCTAAAAAACTATTTTAACTATGCAAAATATGCAAAATAAATAATTATTGAATAGAATCTCCCATTAATTATATAAAAAAAATAATTCTTCGGGGGTAAAATTTCAAAATTATGGAGAAAAAAACACTAAAAGTTAAAGTTTCTAAATGTATGTACATACCTTAACATGAAGCAAAATACAGGTAAAAATATTATTAAATAGATATAAAATTGAATACTCATAATACAATGAGATTTCGCTTGACTGCAACACTTTCATAAATTTCGCCATACATTTCATAAAGTAGCCATATTGTGACTGCATTATTTTTAAATACAAAGCAAATTTAAACTTAAAAGCTTCATACGGATCATAGAGCAAATTTAGAAGAGAAAAAAAATTTTTTTTCAGAATAACTAAGTTAAACAATGTTTAAAATTACTTACATTTTCGAACACGCGGATTTGGCATCATTTATCGAAAATCAATTGGATTTATGGGGAAATCTTCCCCATTAACTTACATGCTTTGCATCTATTGGAATCCCTTAAACGTTCACGAACGTTTCAGTAAGGCCAGACAAAAAAATTTTCTTATAATGTGTTTTTATAAACTAAGAAGTGAATGTGACCTATTTGGACTGAGGTAATGAAAAGGTTAATTAAGCTATTTCATTAATACATGAAACAAAAGGTATGATGGGGATAATAAATTCGATAAAACCAATTGATAAGCTAGGTTTAAGTACAAGAGCTTCTGTGGTATCCAAGTTCAATCGATATATTGGGTTCGAGTATCGAAGATCTGATACAGTCGAACCTGTAATCTTTTACGTTAAACCTGAACTGTAACCTGAAATCAACCGAATTGAATTCAATTATTGCATATGTATACAATATATATTGCTATTTCACATGTATACCTATTTCTATCTAAAATTCTAATGAAGTCTTGGATTGAGCACGGTGTTAACGTAACAAATGTACTTGATTTGATTTTATTAAAGGTTAAGTTTTTACTGCTGAAATTTCAATTTTTATCTTAGGTAAAACTTACATTTTAAATTAGACTTAGAAACTCGTAACATTCTTTAAAGAAAGACACGGTTCCCAGCAGATCACCGAAGTCAAGCATCACTGGTTGCGTTCAGTGTGCGGATGGGTGACCACTTGGATCAGTCTGCGTAGGGACCGAAGGTGTGCGGTATTGGTCCTCGTTAAACTGTGCTACCGTAAAGTGCTCGACTTCGCGCGCAGGTCGTCGGGCTACCGAAGCGGGGGTGCCATTCCCTCCGCGGAGGATCAAAATTGTGATGGCATGTCTTCGGATCATCCTCCCGGATGTTTCCCAGACCGTCGCCAATAGCCCATTGTGCAGTTCCAGTGCGACGTAAATTAACAACAACATTCTTTAAAGAAACCATTCAAAAATGATGCAAAGCATGCAACATAAATAAATTAGTGAAACAACTTTTAAATAAATGGCCTCCTTGTCAGAATCTCTTCTCTGAAGAAGAAAAATAAATTTGTTGCGTGTGCACATTCGCAGGGTGATTATAATTAAAGTTACGATTGCTTAAAATCAATAATTTTAAAACTACTTGTCAGAATGACCCGATATTTTAGCAGAGCAATGGTGAGGTAATAGAATTTTGTTTGATGAAGGCAAAAAAAATTTCCAAAATCTGCCAATAGATGGTAATGTCACGTGAAAGACCGAAAATCGATTCGTTACACACAGGATTGTTGTTAGCCAAAAAGAAGTAATAGAGTTCGGGGGCTTACTTAAAAAATATTAGCGGAAAGACAAGGATACGTGTTTACAGCGACAACAGTGGTATGTACCAAAAAGGGAGCTTCTTGGAACAAACAAATTAATTAGGATTAAGGTATAAGTTGTTCGATGTGCCCTCCCTCCTCCTTGTTCGGCTACTGACTGGAAGTGCAAAGCAGCACTCTCCACTACAGATCTGAGGGTATCTGTACTGATGCAATGCATGTGGTGTGTGATACTTGCCCTAAAATCTGCTAGATTTTCAATCCAATCATTTTAAGCAACATTCTTCAGATACCCTCAAAGCCATAAATCCCACGGGTTTAAGTCGGGAGAACTTGGCGGCCACGCTGTTGGAAAATGGACACTTTTAATCCTATCATCTCCGAAATGAGTTCTCAATAGCTGCTTCACAGAAGTAGCAATGCGCAAAGTAGCGCCATCTTGCATGTATATTGTGTGGTAGTGCTGACGCTACTGAAGTGCCGGACGGACAATAATTCCCCCAGGTGTGATATCTTCGAAGAAAAACAGACCGACGATAAACGCTGCAGTTATTTCGCACCATGCAGTGACCTTTTCTGAGTGAAGAGGTGATGGCAGTAGCTGGAACGGATTCTCTGTATCCCATATCCTTGAATTTTGCGTATTTGAAAGAATTAACCTTGAATTCCAGAATTAACCTTGCAAATGGAAGTGGACTTCGTCAGACCGCAGAATGTTCCATGGCAATTTGTTGTCAACTTCCGTCCGGGCAAGCAATTGCAGTGCAAAAGATTCACTGGCTTCCAGGTCAACAAGGAGCATAGTCAGAGCCATGATGAAGCACAGTCAAAGAGCTGGTACTTTGTATTTTTATGGTACCTTGACAATGTGAACCCTGACAGCACAATCTATTGGCAGATATTGGGACTGTTGTCTTCCTTTGCTAAACAAAATTCCATTGCCTCGCGATTTTTCTGCTAAAATATCAGGTTATTCTGACGAGTAGTTTCAAAATTATCAGTTTTTGAAATCAGAACTTTAATTATAATTAACCTGTTTATTGAATGTACGCACATAAATACATACTTACCTTTTATGTACAAAAATACACACCTGTGTCTGTACGTAGGTACATACAGATGCAAGTATGCATGTAAATGCGCACATGCACACGTACTAACGTTGTATGTAAATATATAAATACAAAAACACGTGGTATGTAGAAACGCAAATAGTTATTTTATATACATACGTAGTTAAGTTGCATATACATTTGTACACGGTGAAGTACGTTGTATACATACACATTGCTATTATGTAACACACACACAAATCATGGCCATAAACTTAGCCCCGTTTCTCAAGAGTTCTTATCTTTCAACTGCCATAACAGAAATGCCACGTAAATTTGACCCCTGTCAAATGACGAGGACAATGCCTGAGATAGTAGTCCTCTCTTCAAAATTCCATACCATAACCAGCGAGAGAGCTTTCAGTCACTTAAGAAAGATGCAAAGTGAGCCTAAATGCGTATACTCACCGGTTGTTTAGTCAGCTTCAAGGATCGAACTCACAACCCTGACTCTCCACCAGCGATGTGCGCAATTTCTTAGCAAGCTGATCCACTGGAGCGCTTATCATGTAGTGCAAGTATATGTATGTATATCGCGGGTATATATGGATTTATATTGAATAAATTGTTCACATATTTACATGCACTGTATATATTACAAAAAATATGCCAATAAATGTATCTAAATATGCACACTATTATATGCATGTACGTATAAGCATGCAATATACGATTGCAGTTATGAAATATATGTGGAAAATATGCGCGTAAGTGCATACGATGTACAGTGTGCCAAAAAAAATAGGACCACCCTGTATAACTTTTGATCCTAATGATTGGATCTTCACGTTCTAGGACTCAATCTTAATGGTTTGAGGCAGTGAACTCAAATATGGTAATTAGTTAGCGCAGACAATATTTTAAGTTAAGAAATCAAACAAAAACACGCACTTTCCTTGAAGAAACATTTTTTAAATAGATTTGGATTTCTGACCCTTAAAGTATAGGGGGTAGCCCCATAGTCTGGTCAGAAGAGCGATCCAAAGTTCGGACCCCTTAATGCTGATTTTATTTTTTGCGTATTTCACCATATCTCGAAAACATATTAGGTAAATTGAACATATTTGGCACACAATTATAAAATTTGTTTATCGAAAGATAATTCCATGCAAAATATAATTGTTTATATTTATTATTTTATTTAATAATAGCCGAAAAACTTAAATTGAAAGGTTTACAATCTTTTACACCGTTTTAAATAAGGCAATTTTAAAGGGCGAAATTTACATTTTTTTGCGAAATCAGTCGAATAGTTCCTGCAAAAATGAATCTTCAAAAGTCCTATTTTAAAAGTTCTTGAAGATAAGGTGAAATATGAAAAAAGTAAAATTAACTTCTCGGGGTTCAAACTTTTGACCCCTCTTTTGAACAATCTATTGGGACCAAATTTCCTTGATTGCGACAACCACTTACATTATACAAATCCGACAAAAAAAATGCGTATTTATTCAGAGAAAGTGCGTTTTTGTGTCAAATTTCGTAATTTGAATTACTGTAAACTATTAAAATTGTATTGCAAAAAGAATTTTCGTTAACTTAAAATATTAGTAATCCTAATATCGTTTATCCAAAGATATAATTCCACGCGAAAAATAAATTTTAGTTAATATTTATAATTTTTTTTTAATTTTGTTTTAAAGTCGAAATAATTTTGAATTGTACGATATACAATTTTTCACATCATTTTTAAGCAATTTTACACAGCAAAATATAAAATTTTAGCGAGATCAGTTTTACAGTTCTACAGAAATAAAATTTTAAATACACTTTTTTTCCCCACCAAATTTTATAGGTGACTATAACGAATCCTAAACAAAGACTTCTAATGATTCAATATATATCAACAAAGAATCGTACCTTGTTTCGGCTTCGTGTTCTGCCTTCACCTAGTATTCTCTTCCAAGGTCTTGGGCTGTAGGTAACTAATTACACTTAGGCTGAAAAATGCTTCGCACAAGACGTTTAAGAATTTAATTTAATAATTAATCATGATAAAAAAGAAGAAGCTATTTACAGTTGAAAAGAGTTGTACGTTGTTCACGACAAATTCAAAGCTAGACAAATTCAAAGCTAGACCACGCTGGTAGAGAAAAAGTTCGTAATTGAAATGTTTCGGTATTTGTCCGCTAGGGGGGATCGAGGCATTCTCAACACACTCCTTGAGTTCAGTAGAGTGACTAACTGAACTAAAAAAAAGGAAAAGTCACAGCATCAGGGTTCAAATCGATCAGGAACACGCACTTGTCTTCCAGCACGAGTTTGCAGAGGTGCACACTGAGATGGAGCTTGCTTCTATAGTTGTTCCGTCAATTTTTCTTCAGTTGTTTTGTTGACTTCAAGAGGACGAAGTTTTTTCAAAGGACGGATTATGATTCCCGATTTGGTTTGCAACATAGCAGTTTGGGCATGTCCATCTTTACTTGACAAAATCTTTAAAATGCTCCCGAGAGGCCACTGAATTCTGCTTACATTGTCATTCCAAATTATCACAATGTCCCCAACTTGCAGAGCTTCTGAAGTTTTGGTCTTTGAAGAAGTTTCTCGAAGTTGACCAAGATATTCCGTTCTGAATCTCTTTCGAATATTTTGACAGATTTCATTTCTGTATGCAAGTCGTTTTTTAAATTTTTCTTGATCTAAAATATCGAAATCTGCAACACCCACCTGACGGTCTTCCCCTTCGTGAGATAAATCTTTGAAGCCCCAAAATTAAGTTTTCAGTAGAGAGGGATGATAAGAGTTCTAAGTGAACAGCCCTAAATATGGCACAAGTCACCATCAAGATCCAAGTTTTTTGACCATCTTTCAGAATGAGGGGATCAGTCAGGTCAGCACCTACAATTTCAAAGATGGGTGCATCTTTCACTCTATCTGCTGGCAAAGGACCATCTGGTACATTGGGAGGTTTAGAATAAAAACGTTTGCAGATGACACAAGATTTTATGGCATTTCTTATAGTTTTTCGACTTTTCAAGATCCAAAATTCTTCACGTAATGTAGACACCAGTAATTGAATTCCACAATGTCCTAATTGCTTATGTTTCCAATAAATCAGATTTTTAACCACAGTATAATCTGAGGGAAGAACTATTGGAAGACGGAAATTAAAATCATCTTCTCTCATAAATACCTTAGTTTTAATTCTGATCAGTCCTTCATCATCAATAATTGTTTTCAAAGAATTCAGTCTCTTATTTCCATCGTTGGCAAAAGCATCCTTTTGGACACATTTCAGAATTATTTTCTCAGCATTTTTCAATTCTTTATTGTTGAGTTCCTCAATTGTTCTGTCATTTTCTCTTTTCTTTGAATTTTCAGCGAATCGAAAAATCCATCCGGTTATTCTCAACAATTTCAAATAAGATGAGTACTTGTTGTAAAATTTTTTACTCTCCTTTACGTTAGTAGCAGTAACTATAGTCTTTCCTTTTTCTGCATTGATTGTATCGATATTTGGCAATATTTTGCTTTTCGGCCACTTTTCTTCAGGTTCTTTTAGAAAATCAGGACCATTCCACCATTCAGACTGCAGAAGAATTTTTGCTGAGCAACCACGTGATGGTAAGTCAGCGATGTTTTTATTTCCAGGAACAAATTTCCATGAATTCGGGCAAGATAATCTTCAGATTTCTCTGACTCTATTTTCCACAAATGTACCCCATGATACGTCAGTTCTAATCCAATATAAGGTATCCATGGAGTCGGTCCAGTAGTGAGTTTCTACATCTTCGAGTTTCAGATCTTTTTTGACGGATTCTGCTAATCTTGCTCTTATGCAACATGCCAAAAGCTCTAGACGAGGGATAGTTATGTTCTTTAACGGAGCTACTCGGGATCGAGCCTGAACTAACTGGCAGGTTACATCGCTCTCAACTTTAACTCTAAAGAAAACACAGGTGGCATAGGATTTTTAGCAAGTATCGCAGAAAACATGCAAGGATAAACTTCCTGAATGGAGTGTGAACTCACTCAATCATCGGGGTATCTTCACGTTTTGCAGTTCAAAAAATTGATTTTTCCACTTATGAAACTCTTTAACAATATTATCAGGCAACTTACAGTCCCATGAAACTTTGATTTCCCAGCATTCTTGTAAAATTGTCTTCGGAATCAAGGTTAATGGTGCAGTAAATCCAATTGGATCAAAAACCTTGTGAGCTAATGAGAGAATACTTCTTTTCGTTACAGGTTCATCCTTCAATTCCAATTTTCTTAAATCACAAGTTAAAGTATCTTCTTCTGTATTCCATAGCAATCCTAGCACAAGTACTTCTTTTATATTCAAAGTTCCAAATGGAAATTCGTCTTTTTCAGCAATGCTAGTGGAATAGCTGTTGTTACACCATCCTCTAAGATCAAATTTGGCTGATGCGAGTAGTTTACAAGATTCATTTCGAAAATAGTCCAGTTCTTGAGGAAAATCGACACTGGCGACGCAGTTGTCCACATACATCGAGTTCTTAAGTTTAGTGTCTAGATCTACGTCTAGATCTTCACGTCTAGATCTTTAAGATGCGCAGGGGCTTGTTCTAAGTGATGGTCTAGAGTAGCAGCCAAAAGAAACGGACTACAGTTTCTCTAAAAACCAACCCTGCAATGACGATAAATGATTTCTTTTCTATGATCTCCTTCCTTCCACCATATGAAACGCAAATAGTTTCTGTCCCGCTCATCTAATGATATTTGCAAAAATGCTTTCCGAATATCAGCGATGACTCCTATTTTTCCAACCCTGAAGCGATTCAAAACTGAGGGAATTAATTAAATTAAATTAGGGCCTTTTTCAATACAGTCATTAATGGAAACAGAGTTTCGAGTGTGAGCTGAGCCGTCAAAAACGGGTCTACATTTCGTAGTAGATTGTTCTTTAAATACAGCCCTATGGGGTAAATAACTAACATTCGACGTTGAAGAGGCTTCAGGCTCGCCAACTCTCTCAATAATCCCTTCAGATTCCCATTCATTAAAAATCCTTTCATAATCTTTAAGTTTGTCAATTGATTTTAAAGACCTTATCGTGTTCTTTAATCTTTTTTCTGTCAAGGATTTATTATCGGCAAGAGGTATGTGTCCATCTAACCATGGAAGGCAAACTTTATACCTCCCGTCATGATCCATCGTTACAGTTTCTTTAAAGTGTTTTAGGGCAAGATCCTGTAATTCTCTAAATCGTTTTTCACAAGGAGTCGAGACTGTCATTGTTATGAATGGCTGACTCAAAACTGTTCCAAAATGTCAGCCATAGTTTAAACTCGCCGTAAAATTTGGGAATGCTTAATTTGGGGAGTTTAAATCGAATACTTTATTTTTGTTCACTTTTATAATTTGTAGACTCATCAAGTCCTAAGGATTCCTTATTTTTAGATTTTTCATTCGATATGTTTTCGTTTAATTCCTGAATTTTCTTGGTAGCGTGGAATTTACAACGAACAACTTTTTCACTGTACTCTTCTGATTTCGAAAATTCGTCTTCAAACTCTTCTGGTGTAAACAAAACTTTCTAATTCTTTGTTAATCGATTCAAGTGATTCATTTTTGTTTAGAAGAAAATGCAAACAATCTTCTAAAACACTGATATCTGACACTTCTGTTTTAAGTTCATTTTCTAATACATTCAGTGCTTTAGTAACAGACGATCTAAGCAAACCTCTTGTCTTCTTTAAAATTGTTACCCGTTCCTCCATGGTTTATTTTTTCAATTTAATGCTAATTTATATTTTTCAGTTCAATTAAATAAGTGTTCAAATTAAAAAAGTTAACTACCGTCCCAGCAGGGATGCCCTATAACGAATACTAAACAAAGACTTCTAATGATTCAATATTTATCAACAAGGAATCTTACCTTGCTTCGGCTTTTTGTTCTGCCTTCACCTAGTATTCTCTTCCAAGGTCTTAGGCTGTAGGTAACTAATTACACTTAGGCTGAAAAATACTTCGCACGTTTAAGACGTTTAAGAATTAAATTTAATAATTAATTATGGTAAAAAAAAGAGGAAGCTATTTACAGTTGAAAAGAGTTGTACGTTGTTCACGACAAATTCAAAGCTAGACCACGCTGGTAGAGAAAAAGTTCGTAATTGAAATGTTTCTGTATTTGTCCGCTATCGAGGCATTCTCAACAGTGACTATAGCAAGAAAATCCTGACACCAAGTTGTAGTAAGGTTACATGCTTTTCTGCGAATACGGTTTTATATGAAGTGATAAAATTAGGAAAATGTGGTAAAGTTTGATATTTTTATCAAGATACATTAAAGCATAATATAAAAATCATTTGTTCGTTTAAGTTTCTGTTTTGCATTTTTTACTAAATGTGTATAATTTTGAAATCCAGAATTTCTGGTAAACCGTTGCCATTTGAACTAGAAAGTTACCAAATAAATGGTTTAAATAGTGATATTTTAATTTTATTAACCGGAATTATTTTTTTACCAGAAATGTCAAATCCATACATTACGGTAATTTTACTAGATTTATCTTCCTCCTGTGTATATCGGGAAATGGTACTTAAGAAAAATAAACCTCACAGTGATGGAATCAAGAATACGATGCAGTTTCTACCTATCTGAAAGTAGAACATCGAAGTCAAGCATGACTGACCGCTGTCAAGTGGGTGAGTGACAACTTTGATCAGCCTGCGTGGGAACGTGGGTGCGTGGTATCGGCTCCCGTTAAACTGTTCTATCGTAAAGTGCTCGATTTTGAGTACAGGTCGTCGGGCCTCCAAGGCAGGGGAGCCATCTCCTCTGCAGAGGATCAAAATTGCGACGGCATGTCTTCGGAGCATCCTCAGGGATGTTTCCCAGACCGTCACCAATAGCCCATTGTGCAGCTCTAAATAAAGTACCTACATACCTGTGTAAACCCGCAATAGAAAAAGAACAATCCACTCTCGATAGAGAGACAGCTTAGAATTGAATGACTACTGATGCACGTTTGTTGTTTTGTAATCTTACAGCTGGATGTATGAATAAAATATCTAATATATTGAAGGAAAATGAAAAGGAAGGAAGGAAAATATCTATTGAATGACTACTGCTGCACGTTTGTTGTTTTTTAATCTTACAGCTGGATGTATGAATACAATATCTATTATATTGAAGGAAAATGAAAAGGAAGGAAGGAAAATATCCATTGAATGACTACTGCTGCACGTTTGTTGTTTTTTAATCTTACAACTGGATGTGTGAATAAAATATCTAATATATTGAAGGAAAATGAAAAGGAAGGAAGGAAAATATCTATTGAATGACTACTGCTGCACGTTTGTTGTTTTGTAATCTTACAACTGGATGTATGAGGAAAATATCTAATATATTGTAGGAAAATGAAAAGGAAGGTGGGAAAATATCCATTGAATGACTACTGCTGCACGTTTGTTGTTTTTTAATCTTACAACTGGATGTATGAATAAAATATCTAATATATTGAAGGAAAATGAAAAGGAAGGAAGAAAAATATCTATTGAAGGACAACAGCTGCACGTTTGTTGTTTTTTAATCTTACAGCTGGATGTATGAATAAAATATCTAATATATTGAAGGAAAATGAAAAGGAAGGAAGGAAAATATCCATTGAATGACTACTGCTGCACGTTTGTTGTTTTTTAATCTTACAACTGGATGTATGAGGAAAATATCTAATATATTGAAGGACAATGAAAAGGAAGGAAGAAAAATATCTATTGAAGGACAACAGCTGCACGTTTGTTGTTTCATAATCTTACAGCTGGATGTAAAATTAAAATATCTAAACTCTGTCAGAAGCAAAGCAATTAACAGACTGTTTAAAACTTTAAATTCATTAGTAATAAAAATAAGCATCATGAGTAAATGAAACCAAATAAATAGATAAACTTAAAAAGTTTTATTTTTGAAATGAAATATACAAGATTGTTTCATTAAATACTATCTCTTTTTATCTCCCACTCTTGTACATAGAAAGGAAAATGAGAATATAAATAGTTTTAACAATACAGTACAATCAATCACCTAAAAGAAACAAACTTAAAACTATTAAATTTCTATAACTCCGATTTTTCGAACACTAGCGATATGCATTTTAAATATATCTAATTTTAATCATTCCAATTCATATTGAGAATGTGTAAAAATACGTTTGTATGTTTCAAATAGTTTTATTGATTAATTATACTACATTGAGTTAATACGAATATTTTAAAATTGTCTAAGATATTAATGCAAAAGATGGTTGTCAATTTCATGTTTGAAGCATTGAATTTTATTATCCAATATACTGTATTGATGAGCATTGATTTAATGTGTGGTTTGTAGGCAAATATAACTAATTTTAAATGTTTTGGTATACAGTGCACGATTATACAAACCTGAATAACTTATAATAAATTTAATAACAAACATAATTATAAGTTTTAAGGTGAGCAAATTTTTACAACATTTTTAAATAATGAAATTAAATATTTGAGAGGAATTGGTCGGATAGTTCTTGAAAAATATAATTTAAAATGTACCACTTTATTGGGATGGGGAAAATTCTCAAAGAAGAAAATTAACATTAAGGGATCTAAACTTTGAACCGCTCTCCTGGCAAAACTATTGGAGCCCCATTTCCCAGATTGCGGCTACCCCCTCTAATTTTTGGGTCAGTAATCCCAAACCATTGAAAAAGGTATGATAATTAAGAGGAAGTATGTTTTTGTGTCTGATTTTGTTACTGCATCGTCTGCATTAATTGATTAGTGTATTCAAGTTTATGTGGTTGAACCATTAAGGTTGAAGCCTCATGCGTCAAAATCCGATTATTGGACGAAAAGTTATTCAGGGTGTTCGCGTTTTTTGTGTGTGCACTGTACATATTTCTATTTCAGACTTCTTTACATTTTTTTTATTTTTAATTAATGTAGTATTTAATGACTGATAGTATGTGACAGATTAAAACGTACTATTTATTGTTGTATTTTCTGCTTAGTTCTTCCCATAGTCTACGAGAAAAATATATATTGAGGAAGTTTGTCTAAACAAATTTTCTCGAATTGAAAACTTCTGTTTGACTAAAATAATTGCAATATTTTTTAAATGATTACAATATTTTTAAAATATTAAAATCTTTTTTTAATTAACTACTCTTATGATGTTATTAATATAAAGCATTAACGCTTAACGTGTTGCATTCTACATATTTTTGAGATTGCTTCTTCCTTTTTTCCAAGATAGATGCTATTGCCGACATGTATTTTGAAACTTTTTGTTCAGTCAAATAAATAATGACTTGCACAATCATGATCAATTATTTTTTGATTGAAGTAATATAACATTTTTAAATTAAATAAAAATTACTTGTTCAAATAATTAACGTTGTTGCTATTCTGATCATAAATTATTGATAAACATTATTGATTGTGCATGTTTTTTAAGATAACATTCAGGATATTCTCTAAACTTTTACTTTAAATATTTAAATAATGATCAAGTATAAATATAACAGTCATGATCACACATTACTATTTAAAGCCAGATTTAAATGAAAAGGAACAACTCTGTTCTGAAATAAATTTATAGCAAATAAACCCGGTTTTGAATTCTAATACCAGTTAGCTATTTAATTTTCATTTTATTACTCATTTTAGTCAATAAAAGTGTAAAATATATTTTTGATTTCTTCTGCCTAAAAGAAATGATGTCAAAGATTTTCGATTATATATTTGCGATCTGGCTTACCCATCAGTCATTAAATTTAAAGCTTTTAATTTCAATCTTAAGTAAAACATTAATTAGTAAAACATAAAAGCCACAGTTATTTTATTTTCAGAAATAAATCAAAATTATATATTTAGTGTAGAGATCACAGGGAGACTATATACACACTATATTGTTTAGAAATATTATACAAAACCATCTTCTTAAATATCATATTAGATTGATTATCTATAATATTTGATGTATTTAATTTTCAATATCCAACTTTTAATTATAAACTGTCTAGAGTTCATGATTAAAATGTAATTGGAATAATTAGTCATTGAAAATTTTATATTTTAAAATGCATATAGCACTAACAACGTCTTGATATTTCTGACTAGTTAATTTTCTGATTTTTAATTAACTCTCTCACTACATTTCTCACTGACCTATGTACAATACATCGTACTTTAACAACTGTTTGATTCGAAAGCCCTGTAAAGAAATTATAGTTGTTATAATCATCGATAATCGATCAGGAA